TGCAGTTTCAAAAAAAAAAAAAAAGCGATCAGGGACTGGACTGATAGAAATCATAAAAAATACTTGGAATCCACAATGGGGCTCAGACAGGCAAAGGGTTTTATAGCAGGACCATCTGCCAGAAGAACAAAGGATCTGCTGAGATTAAAGAGAGATCAACTAAGATGGGTGGTAGGATTACTTATCAGACACTGCCACCTAAAAGGACACCTTTTCAAGTTGGGACTGACAGATAATCCAACTTGTGAAAGATGCCTATATGAAAATGAATCAGCCACACACATCTTGTGTGATTGTGAGGCCATAGCTTATTTAGGATTTCGTCACTTGGGTCAGATTTTTATGGAACCAAGTGACTTTTATGATGCCCCCATAAGCAGGGTCCTACACTTTATTAAAAGTGTAGAATTAATAATGGGCTAATCCAAGGGGAAGCACAATAGATCATTGAAGGTCACAGTAGGGGTGCGGTTTTTATGGCCCACCCCTTACATACATACATACATACAAACATACATAAGTAAACTTACTGGAATAATAAGCCAGACAGTGTAACAAATTTAACAGAATAAATCAAATTAGATGTACAGTCTTAAATGTTTTGCCCCCTTTGGGCCATCCTCAGAGGCAAGAATAAAAGGAAATAAGCTTCACATTTATTGTAATTTCCTTTTATTGGCATGCTTCCAAGAATGGCCCAAATGGGCCAAAACATGTTAGGCTACACATTTAATGTGAGATATTCCATTAAATCAGTTACACTGGATGGTTTACTATTCCAGTAATTACTGAAAGTGTAACATCAGAGATGTCACACACTGCAATGGGTAAACTTATTTAATTTCATTAGCACAATACACCAAAACATTATGCACGCAAAACAGAAAGAAGTAATGGTCACCATATTGTAAAGATATACTGAAGGCCTGGCACTGTATTGTAGCAGAATATTCCCTTTGTTTAAGTAGAAAATACTCCATAACTCTACATTTGAGTTTATTACTGCCGTGACTGTTAATGCTGACTGTGAACTGTTAAAAAAATAAGGCCAAAGTAAGAGTATAGAACTGTTAGAACTGTGAGTTCTAACTCACTGACGTCATACACAAATTGTCCTAACACATTCTCGCTTCAAGCTCTTATATATAATACATTTTTGCCAGTTATAAAGTTCTTCATTATTAAAACTGAAATAAGAAAACTCATGATTTATTTAATCCGTCTTGCAGTGCATACACTCATTTATCTCCTTCTCTCCTTCGCACTACATGTTTCGGCATAATAATGCCATCTTCAGGTGCTTACTTATCCACGTCAAACCAGTTCAGTATAACACACGCAGTCGCAGGAGCACGACACAACAAAAGCACAACACACAAGATAATGAAGGAGTGCTCCAACAAAGGAGAATGGGCGTGACTGACGTAGTGAGGGGCGATGTAGCGATGTGGTATCCTGAACAATTTTAATATTTTAACGTTTGACAATGTATATGATAGATACATATTTTAGTTATTTTAATGTGTGAACATGGCATGCAATGAACTGGTTTGACGTGGATAAGTAAGCACCTGAAGATGGCATTATTATGCCGAAACATGTAGTGCGAAGGAGAGAAGGAGATAAATGAGTGTATGCACTGCAAGACGGATTAAATAAATCATGGACTTAAATCAGTGCAACAGGACGCTAAAATATAACATTAATAAAACTCATGCTGGGCAGATGATGAACATGGAAGCATATCAGTCTAAGTGACCCTTCTGTCAATAACCACATGCTGATCATTACAGAATGCACTACAAACTGGTACAAAACTTAACTGGCAATACCCAGATGGGGTATGCAGCATATTACAAAATGCATTACCCACTGCAACTAAACTTCTCTACCAATAATCAGATGAGGTACATTATATATTACAGTATACAAATTCACTATGCACAGTTACAAAACTTATCTGCCAACAACTAGATAAGATATGTATATTACAAAATGCACTATGCATTGTACAAAACTTAACCTTTAAATTCTTTATGGTCATTTTCTGACATTATTATTTCACAATGCTGGATGTCAGTGTCCCATGACATGTTGAATGAATGTATAAGGGGTGGGCCTTCTTGGCCCTTGCACCGCGAAAACAGTGATCTATGAAAAAATATTCAACAGTATCTTTCTAGTTAGTTTAGTTAACTTTAGTTAATTTAATGGTAAACCAAGAACTTCACATGTCATATTTTTGGCAGATAGCACTTTTCGACTCTGCATATGCAAGTCCAAATATATAGGATACATATATATATACACACAGAGTGCTTCTTCAAACATACTACCAAGTCATACATCAGGTACAAATGTTCGCCAAACTACCACGACTTCATATATGCCATATACAAACCGATACAAAATATGCCTAACTTCTTTCAAATTGATTAATGTCTTCGAGTCCAATCTGGTCACAACTTTCTATCAGTATAGCTTCAGAATGTACATTTATAAATATGCATATCACTGCTTTATGCTTGTCAGCCAAAATTTGCAGTTTATCTATGTGTTGATGATAACTTAATACTTTACCTGATTAAGCAGTTCATGTACTTCTTCATCCCTCTTTTCGGCCAGTAGAGCATATAAAGTAATAGCCATTCCATCTCTCGCAGCATAGTAAACTCTATTTCTGAGTGACTGTGCTAATTCTGTCATTTTTAAGTTAGGGTCCTATTCAACAAAGTCCCTTCAGTTTTACGAAATGTTGGCATTATTGATACCTCTGCTCCTTTAAGTGTAGTATCGCCTCAGAAAAAACATGATCTACAGTAAACTGACTACCACATACCAAACAACTTTAATCGCTTTTATCACAAAATCAAACTCAAAACACGCACACTCAGAAACCTCAGAAATTTCACACTAGTGTGGGCCACACAACGTTACAAAATGCAGATCAGCAACCGATGTCTGCTACCGACGTTCCATTGTTCGTAACGTTCATTGTGAACGGTTCGGTATGTCTCAGCGTATCTGGGATTGCCAAATGGAAGACAACCTCGAACAACTCTATCAAAGACCATCAAAGACGATACATTCCATATGAATGTTCAGTAAGCGGACTTTCGTATCAATGGAATATTTCTTCCATTTAGAGTAAGACAAGACTCAGGCGGTCGACGACCGTCGACGACCACGAGAGAAGTAGACGCCTGAGTCTTATCTTCATTAATTTTTATATTCCAGCGCTCACACCATGTCTCCATTGACCTGAGACCGCACTGGAGTTTTCTAACAATAAAACCCTCCTTGCGAACTGTCGCGTATAGACAGGTGTCGTCCGCAAAGAGGGCCAGGTGAACACCATGAGTGTGGGGGGCATCATTTATGTACAAGTTGAAAAGAATAGGGGAAAGGACAGAACCTTGCGGCACCCCTGCTTGCATTTCCCTTTGCGTTGACATTTCGCCTTCAACCGAGACCCTGAATTTACGTTTCGAAAGACAGGACTCAATAAGCTTGGTCAAAGAGTTAGAGAATTCCAATTTTGACAACTTATACAGCAAGCCACGTGGTATCAAAGTTTTTTTCGATGTCCAAGAATACTGCAGCCGTAGAATTTTATTGTTGAAATTAAGGGTCACGTGGTCCTCCAGCCTCATACATTGCAATGTCGTGCTGTGACGTGCACGAAAACCAAACTGACTTGCGTTGAGCAGGCCTCTTTCTTCAATATGTTTACGGAGAAATTTCAAAATTACTTTTTCGAATAATTTTCCTGTCGTGGACAGGAGGCTGATCGGACGTAAATTTTGAGGAAATTTCGGGTCTTTACCCGATTTAGGTAAAATTATTACTTTTACTTCCTTCCAAGTACTTGGAAAACGAGAAAGCCGAAAGAAATGATTAAATAGATGGGTTAGATGAACCAGTGGTCGCCTTGGAAGGTGCCTGAGGCATTCATTTGGGATGCCGTCAATTCCGCAGGCCTTTTTTAATTTCAGAGATTTTATTAATTTCTGTACGTCACATGGCCTAATCCTATGAGGGGGGGGGTTCGTCTACGGTTTCTAGCAGAGCTTGTACTCTAGCCTCCACCCGCCGTTCATGGTTATCGTCGCATAGATCATGCGGGGTGAACTGAATTTCCAAACAGTCGGCATTTTCGTTGGCTTTATCAGAAGGGTGAAATTTAAGGCCAGAAGAACCATGAATAGCAGTTGGTGCCCTTGGTCCGTCTCTCTTTAAGAGAGATTTCGCAATGGGCCATATATCCTGAGGTGTGACTTCAGCGTTACCTATTTTTGTTTCCCACCGTTCAAGGGCCCTTTTTCGGGTCATTCGTCTGACTGATTTGGTGACCCAATTGACTGCCGCTTTACACGCTGGATCCCTGGTTTCTTGCCACAATTTTCGTAGCCTCTGCTTGTATTTTATCAAACGATCTAGACCAGGTAGATCGTTGTTCATATCCGAAAGTGTAATTTTACTTGTCGACAACCTATATGCCGCAGCAATAGAGGCTGCAAAGTCGCGTGCCGCTTTATCGGCTTCTACCCCCGAATTAATTTATAGTTTAGGTGATATTAACTCAGAGGTGAGGCTTTGAAACCGCTCCCGAATATTGCGAGCTTTGGGCTCCGCCTTTTATACCATGCTTGATAGGCGGAGCGAAACTTGCAGTTGCGATTGTGAGCGCTGATTGGCTAGTGCACGAGATGATCTAAATGTAGGCTGGACAGCGATGTGATTGTTTAGCGCACGTGATAATCTAGAGGTGGGTTGGACATCGAGTGCTGTATAAATATGAGCGTCGCCAGCAATGTGCGGCAATGTGATATTGACGATATTGACTTAGGAGTAAGTGTTGTCTGTTAGGCCGGCGAAACAGCGTGTAAGTATGTTGGATGTTCCCACAAACATTATATGTGCACAAAGACTCTCGTGGCTTAGCCATGTAGATCAAATGCCAACCAACAGATCAGTTAAAAGCCTGTGTTCATGGAAACCATTAAGTACAAGACCAATGGGAAGACCAAAAATATGATGGGAGGAAGATGTTAAAGCTGACATTAAGATGAAGGTACAAAATTGGAAGGTAACAGTCCAGGACTCTCGCTGGCTTCCCACTGCGGCGGCCCGGGTTCAATCCCGGGTCTGGTCAGGTGGGATTTGTGGTGGACAACGTGGCGTTGGGGTGGGTTTTCTCAGATTATTTCGGCTTTCCCTGTCAATCGTCATTCCACCAAATTCTCCATCATCATAATCACCCGGGGCAGGCTACAAAAGGCCAAACAGTGGTCACCGTGCCGAGTGGACCTAGATGGACTCCACCCCCCACTATGCGAATTAAAAGAAAAATAGTCCAGGACAGGACCAAGTGGAAAGTTCTGGTTGAGAAGACCAAAACTCTATGTGAGTTGTAGCGTCAAAATAGAAGAAGACAGGCTTAAAGAAACTTGTTTACATTTTGGTTACTGAAATAAATAATATATTGTATCTCCAGTGTGGTCTCTTTCTGTGTGACATATCTCATGTCATATGTGAAATTCCTCGACCTTTATCAGGAAAAAGTTAAAGGTAGAAATTTTGAATGGCATACACTGGCATTATAGTTAATACTTCCATTACCACTCCGGCACTCAAAGTTCGATCCCAGAGCGATGTGTGGTGGGCAAAGTGCCACTGGGGTGGTTTTCTGCAAGTACTTCCATTTCCCCTGTCTGTTCTCATTCCACTGACTGCTCCACACTTGTCATTATCTATCATCCAGGGCTGGTACAATGGACTAAATAGTGGTCAACACACCTAATGGAGACCCATCCCACCTCCAGAAATTATAATAAAAAAAGAAACACAACGCGTAAGAAACATCCGACCATAAGCCTACACAACCTCAAGTTGACATTTCCCATCATCGGGACGAATCAACAAGAAGGAGCCGAACATTTTACTTTAAATGTTTTAAACTTTTAAATATTTTAACATTGACGGCTCAATTTGAGGGCAATTTTCAGATGGAATGCAAGAGTTGTACGTGCATTCAATGCTACTAGAAAGTGTTGTGCTTTTACACTTTGACACCTGTAACAGCGTCCACGCAGCTTACATACTGTGTACATTAAACAACGCCAGTGTTTTCATGTGTTTGTAATACGTGCCTCTGATGATGGTTTTTCTTGAACCGAAACATGTAAGGCAAGTGAGATAAATAAGTGACCTAAAAACACTGTTACACTCGACGGATTTTTCATTGACAATTTGTGATTGATAGTGTAACGGACCAAAGATGAAACAATTAAAAAAAAAAAAGAAAACTTCCATTTATAATTTAGTCAATATTTACTATTTGCCTCAGCAGTTTAGGCATCCTCTTCCAATAAGACAAGCTACAACAGAAATGTTTACTTGATGTGAACTCTGAATAAAAGTGGGGAATTAGTACTCCTCATTCAGTGTCAAAAGCAAAGGAAAAGAAAGCACGTGAAAGAAATCTCTGGATCTGGAGGCTCTTTGAATATAATAACAGTGGCAATTTCCCAACTCCTTGCTTTTACGATACTCCAGCACAGCATGATCATTATAAATAAGACAGCCAAGGTTCACGGGAAGAATGTAAAAGAATAATGGCCTGGGCTACTACAATCATATTTATGTTATTGCAATACTATACAATATTTGAAATAATTCCTCATAGATGTAAAAGCAAGAATATGTTTAATAGTCACAGTTCATAAACAGAGACAAATAAAATTCCATAAAGTATATCTATTCGATTATTTTAAACATTATTCTAACATAGGCGGCAGACGGCCGCAATGCCAGAAGAAAAAGGTACCAACCAGGAACACCTTTGGAGGGTGTAGATTAGGACAGCGATCGCACCTATGAGGGAGAACTCATAAGAAGACCTTCTATGAGATTGTCAGCATGAAGATCGGAAAGCGAATAGTCGGATCTTCTGTCGGCCTACAACAAGACAAGGATTGGACCTGGTGGAGGGGTCGACCCCTCCAAAACGGAAAAAAAGACTGCAAGCAGAGAAGGAACCGGTAATGTAGGAACACTGGCCTCCCCAGAGTGAATGTGATACAACGGATCGAAGAACGATAGACCATGGAATTGCGCAAGACAAGCATTTTTAAAAAAAGGGGAGCAGAGGTAGCGTCCCAAAGACGAACACCAGAGAAGAAAAAAAGAACGGGGATGTACCGTTAGGCTGTTCGGGACGAATAAACTTTAGAAGGGAGCAGTGTGATGTGGATGGCGCAACAGGAAGTAGGGGTCACGTGAACTCTGCTCTCTCGTGAGTGACGTCACATACTCCCACTCCTTCTATCATTACGCAACACTCGGTAAACACCCCTCCCCTGAGGTGATGTTAACAGCACTTCCCACAGTGACGTAACAGGGGACACCGCAGTTACTACACAGCATAAACAACTCTCGGCAGCGTTCCCCAGCAACGCGTGTAAACATGGTGTTTACACAACAGTGAAGTGATATGGGTTTTCCGCTGTTCGACTGAAGGTTTATAAGGGAGACTGAAATGCATAAGGAGAGTGCTGAAGTCTAGCAGTTGCCGAGTCGGTTTGTATTGAGTGCATGGCAGGGACTCCAGCAGGAGAAGTAACTGTGATACTGCAGATGGCAATACTTGTGAAATTGTGTAATTGTAAGAGCGAGTGTTCAATAAATTCGCTAAGATCCAAGACAGCATGAAGTTATTTGTCGCATGATACATACCCAACACGTGACAATATTTTAATATTATTGTAATCCTACTCATTCATTAGATAATTTTTTCTTGTGATGTGAACAGGTGAATGATCTTTCTGAACATCTTGCCATAACTGAATAACTATAATTAACAACAGAATACTAGTTGGGTATATTTATTCCATAACATAATCCACTGTTACAACACATGTGAATAAAGTTTTAATGTTTAACCATGAGTAGCTATATACAAATAAAAAGCCCATGTTCCATAGTGTGAATTCCACTAATTAGGCTACAATTATTTACAATCGATGTCATTAATCTCCATCCTGGATGCACCCTTCAACCAAATCTCGCAAGTCTGGGTTTTCCATTGCAGCTGCTATTCTTTCTTTATCATTGATCTGTTTATTGACTGAAACAAAATAAAGGTCACAATGAATGAAAACCGTAACACAGAAAATCACACTTATCCCAAGGTGCCTGGACATTTTTTTTTCACTGCAGTCAGATATTTGTTTAATACAGGACATTGCTGAAAAAATGCAGAGTAAATACACACCACATGGTATGTTTAAGATTGAATCACAAGACAGAAATTCATGGTACATATAGAATATACAATAAACTGTTACTAAATGGTATAAATTTTCAATTTTCTTTCCATTCCCAGTTGTTCATCCAGCCATGCTGAACATACTTTGTTGATGGATCAGTTAACTCTTACCCATTTGTAACAGGAGTGTGCCTTTTCAGACAAGTACAGGCAACGGCACTATGGAACAATATTTGAACAGAACACTCAACATTAAAGCAATTTTTCCTTTTTTTTCCCCTTCCTTTCCATTTTTATGTTCCCATTTATTTTGGACAATTTTACTTTAATTTTCTCCCCATTTTCTTAAGGCCAGAATATGTGTCCACAAACATTGGGTTTCAGCTTAATCCTGGTTTTGTTCCTGCATTTTCTTAATACATTCTATTTGTGCCCTAGCAACATCATGTTATGAATTTATGGCCTTCATGTTGCATACAACATGAACACAAATTCCCAAATTAATGCAGGTAATGAAGCAGTTACAAAATACACATATTTTCCAGGTGTATATTCACAATATGGTGACCAGCCATTAGAGCCCCCTTTGCTTGCACACTGTGTTTTAACCTACTTTGCCTATTCACCAATACATCTATAATTGTAAGAAAACAGTAAGAACAATACTACTGCCTGAATTTGCAAATATTTCTGGCTCTTTTCCATTGTCCAGGCTACTAAAAAGAAACCACAGGAAAAGTGTTTCTTAGGTATTTTATTAGCTAAAAGAGTGGAATGAGAGGAAAAAAGTTATGTTTTATTTTTAAGTCATCAGCATCAACAAATACTGCATAACAACTTTAGGGAAAAGCATGGTGATATGGCTGTGGATCTGACTGAAGGTATCTGTTTTGCTAAGCAGAAAAGTCACATGTATTCCTCTATGCACCCACGCCCACAGAAGTGGGTTCGAATCCCACTTCTGACACCAGTGTAGCGTGTTTTGTTACTGAAACTTGTTGGTAATGTGTGTAAGTCCAATCCCACTTCTGACACCAAGTGTCATGTGTTTAGTTACTGAAGACGCCGTTCAGATTGTTAATTGGTTTATTTAACAACCTACAAGTATCGGCCACAATTAATTACAACCCTGTTGCGGGTTTCCACAGTTTACAAACCCTATGCATTAATCAATTCACTCTGTCCTCAGTAGTCTACACATATTAATTACGATATGGGAGCTATACAAGTGTCACTGTATCACACACTCCCAATTATTACTCACTTATCACAAACTATCACTGATTATCACACATGTGTCCGGTTTTCTTCCCACGACGGCTGCTATATTCCAACTCAACTCTAATGGCTCACTGCTGGCTAGATTCCAACTCAACTCGTAGGCTGCTGCCTTGAGAACTGTCTTTGGCGGCGGCTTAGTTCCCTTATAAACCCTCAGCCGGACAACGGGAAACATCTCGCTTCCTTGTTGCCTAGTTGCAGTGTTTGCCGATAGTCTAGCAACGCTGTTGGGAGTTGTTTACGGCTACATAGCAACTGCGGCGTCCAGTGTTACGTCACCACGGGGAGAGACGGGGTGTTGACTGGCTTTGTTTAGCAACCGCTGTTTACTCGCTTTGCATAGCAACCAGCGTGCTTGGACTCGGCTCACTTTGGCTCCACTCGGCACGTCATGGCTGGCGGGGAGGGAGGAGCGTCCTCTATAGCGCAACACATCACACTGCTCCCTCCTTAAGGCTGTTCGTCCCGAATAGCCTAACGGTGCACCCCTGTTCCTTTTCTTTGGAGGCTGTTCTTGCAGCATCTTTTTGTCCTGCTACTGTTTCTCTTCTCCCCGTTGCTCTGCTCTCCAACTGCTACAATACTAACAGTATACTCGCTATATATACAAGAAACAATGCTATATGTAAAAAAAATTATAACTTCACAGTGAATGAACAAATACATATAACACAAGAAATAATAAAGACTATCATATATATGGGCACAACTTAGAACTTTATAATAGTAATCCTTCAGTAGCTGGCTGTATCTTTTACAACAAACTGCCTAACAACATAAAAGAAATAGAAAACAAAAATCACTTCACACGGGAATCGATGAAGTTACTTATTCAGAGGTGCTATTACTCAACAGAGGACTATTTGAACGATGAATTCCCGAATACTGGCTACTGATATAAGCAGAAATATATAGTATATAATGTATAAAATGTTGTATATCTTATATAATTTTTTAGTATTAAGATTGTTGTAATTTAATAATGTATATTAGCTGAAAGACTTGTCCTATATCATTGTATCATGATCTACAGGATTAATAAAAGAATGAATGAATGAATCTTTCCTAAGATGATTACATAGAGACTGCACACAGAAATGATCAAAGCCAAGGCCTTCAGAAAATTTATTAAAACCTACTCCTTATTTGAAAGTGAGCGCTTAAGTGCAAACATTAACCCTCCATAAAGCACTGATTAGATCAGTAATGACTTATGTTTGCATCACCTGAAAATTAGCAGCAGGCAGATACCTCTCAAAATTGCAGTGCCTGCAAACCAAGGTTCTACGCACCACTGAAAGTTTCCAAGGTGCACACCGGTCTGCAATTACACATGGCTTTCAACCTTCCATATGCATACAATTACATAATAAAACTGTGCAGGTAACAAGCATAAGTCATAGAAAATCATGAGAATGAACATGTTCACAGTATAGGAAAAGGCAAAGCCAGATACAGGTAATATAAGAGGCTTAAACTTGGTGGTGATCAAGCTTATCACCATTCAAGTGACAAAGCTGCCATTGTAGCATAAGATAAGATAGGCATGATCTATTTTTCAAAGCCAGGACATACAGAGGACCTGTATATAGTGCAAAAGTAAGAATTTTTAATAGCACACTATATGTGTGTGATCTGTACACTTGACAAAAGCAAAGTCTATTCACAAGAGACAAACCCAGCCTCTCATAAGAGAGGGATGTTACCTTCAAGGTTTCAGTTGAGAAAATAAATTTCTGGTCATTATCCCCAAAAAGCTTTGCGCCAAGATGAATAGACTGGCGGTAAAATGCCACTCATAAAGTAACTCTGACTTCAAGTTTAGTTAGTTTGGCAGTTGAAAGCTTGTTAGTTCACCTCAGGAGCTGCAGCAGAAAGGCGCCAGCCAGCAAGGACACAGCCGCTGGACAAAGAAGCCAAGGACACTACACCGCTGAAAGCCACTACCTAGCAGCAGAGTGAAGAATGCAGTGGAGAACACAAGTCTGTGTGTTAACAGTGATTTGTAAAGTGTAGTCACAAGTTGTCTAAGAGTTCAATAAACCTGATGAATCCCATCAAATCTTGAGATTATTATAAACAAAATACCACAACACTTTAGGACAGAGAAAAGAGAAAGTGGACCAAGTTTCATGAAAATATTCACACAAAGGAAGGCGCTTGGCAATATTACATATGAATGGTGCCATAAATATTTTTCTGTAAAAAAAATAGTGAATTCAAAGCAATTAGCACAATTTCTTCAACAACACAAAGATTATGACTGTTTTATACCACTGACCATGATGAGATCAATATGAATGTCAATTCAGCTGTTCAAAATAAAAATGATCTAGTTTGACAATCTTAGTTTTAATTTTTAGGTACAACTTCAATGATTTCTGATAAGTTGCCTGATCATGTTTTTGTTTCCAATAGGCTCTAGTACTTTGTAACATGCTCTTTAATGACTGTTTACAATACAGAGCTCAAAATGAAAGACAACAGCCACTTAAATGATCATCTACCTAAGTATTACAAGCAAAATAACTCAAAATGCTCCATTATCTGAGAGTTCACTGCTGTGGAATTAATCTGTGGCTTCCTTATATCAGACAATAATCCCACCAATCAGAGCAATTCCATATCACTTTTAATGAAATACTCTTCTCAACTCCCCTCCCCCCAAATTAGAATAAGATGGGGCTTATAAAATTAATGTAGAGTATCAAGTTCAAAAATGTACACACTGATAATTGATTTTTCCAGTGCCATTGTAATGACAGACTTTGAAAGCAAAATTTCATGATCAACCATGTGCATAATATATATGTCTCTCTGATATGTTGGGATTTTGGACTTTATCCATCGTCCTGGTTTTTAAGATAACAAATAAAAACACGACGTTTCGGAAACTGGATCTGTTTCCGTCCTCAGGTGAAGGAAAACACCTATTCAGTTGGGTCCCTTAGAAAGAGCTANTTGCTTTTAATACCAATTTCTGAGATGGTTTTGGAAATGAAGTGTATAAATAATCCATGAACTTCTTACTGTTTCCACAGTATTATTTGTTCATTTCTTCTTAGAATTGCTTATATCTAAAAAAAAGTCATTAAACGATCTTACTGTATTTTTGTAGTTCTAAGTGATATTACCCTTTATATTTAAACAAGTCACCTTAGTAGAAGCTTGGCTATTTCCAGTCATGTTTTTTATAATTTTCCAGGTTGTTCTTGTTTTATTATTGGAAGTTCTTATGACTTTGTTCAGATATAACTTTTTTGCTGTTGAGATAACTCTACTTAATATCTTGCAATACATTTTATAGTGTTCTTTTAATCTAGAATCATTATTGCTCTTAATTTTTATATAGAGGTCCCTTTTTTTATTACATGATTTTATAATTCCTGGGGTTATCCATGATTTATTAGCATCTGTACTTTGTGATTTTGTGATCCAAAAACATGAATTTAGAGTCCTAAGGTAAGTATTTAAAAAGTTATTAAACACTGTATCCACATCACTATCTACATGATAGAAAAGAAACTAGGATGGCTTCTGATTCATATGAGAAGTGTTACTTCCTGTATGTTTTTGGTAAGTAAGATAAGGTAGATGAAGTCAGACTTACTTTGTGAAGTTTTAGCTCTGTTTCAAACCCTGATCAGCCTACATTACCAAAACAAATTATATTTTTCTCTTTTACAGGAAAATACATACTGACCACCACCATCAGGAATGTCATTTAAGGAATAATTCAAATTATTAGATTCTTATCACAAATGTTTGCAGTGTTGCATACATGTCTCCTCCTTTCTCAAGTTTCCAGTTATCAAACCACCTGATTTTGCACAAATGCTAAAAACCATTACTTACTCTCTTCTTCTGTAGAATGGGTTCCCTTCCTAATAAATATGTCCAATTTAAATTTCTCAAATAGATTTCTTTCCAGTTTTATTCGTATGCAGAGGCCTATGAGGGTAGCCAAGGAACAGTGCGGAACCGTGGGGTTAAACTCAATGCGCACAACATGTACACCATCATCCGTTGAAGCTCTGATCTAAAAAAAAAAAAAGGTACAGCTTATTTTATCTACAGCTTTTCTAGCACATTCAATGGACAAATAGTCAACAAGACATCAAAGTTCAGAATACCTCCCTTTCCCAGGAAATTCTCAAGAGGCAGCATTTATAAAAAATATAGTTTTTATGCAGTACTTCTTCTCTTAATTTAATGCTGACATAACTTTTATTATATATTTAACATACAATATTAATGATGGTTTTATATACTGAATTTTAAAACAAACACCCTCATCTCGCATTTACACACATAACATTCCAAAAGACTGGTCTCTTGAATTATGTTATGTGTATGTCTCCTTGAATTAGGAATACAAGGCAAAATTATCATCACTAACCATTACACCATCTTCATAAACTACACTGAGATCTTCTAGTGTGGCAGGTTTCTCAGGATCCCGGATGTTCCTAATATATTCTGAAACATTAAAATAATGCCATTCATACAGAGCACAATTTTTATCAAGTAAATTACTTTTTGTATTTGTTACATCAAATGTGATTTCACAATAATGTATCTAGATCAGCAGTTAATCACTTTGACACTATTATCCATTAAGTTTAACAAATAAATAATTACATCAGGCAAAAATAAAATTATGATTAATAATTTGTATTGTAATTTATATTCCCATAATTACGTTAAAGAAAACTGAATTTTAAATTTATTATATGGTTTGTGGGGTTTTGCCTTTGTTGTTTGTCATTACTCCGATGACAACCCACTTCTTCGGAACAGTTTGTTGGTCCTGAAAAGGACCGTGGTTGCTGAGATGTTTGATCGGTGAGGTAGCGCGGCGCGCGCCGGTAGGGAGAGAGGTTAGTTGCAGTGATTTGACTGGCCACAGCGCAGCCGTTGCTGGAGGTTGCTTGATTGCCATGCGGCAGGTGAGTTGAAGTTGAGTGGTCGCGCAGCGAGGTCGCAGGAGTGATGAGGCAGTGGCTACGTCAGATGCCCAGTGGGTCGGACAGGGTCACGACCACCGGCGAGCTCAGGCGAGGTGCCCCAGTGCGTCAGGTGTCAGAGCCGGAGGGCCGAGGCAGTCGTGCCTGGCGCAGCCTGCCGATGCCTCCGAAGACTGAGCGTTGGCGATGAAGCCTGCTGGCTGATGTTGCTTGAGTGTGGCTTGATCGAAGACTGAAGTCAGACTGATGATGCCGGTTTGCGGCTGCTTCTCTTTATACGCTGCTCGATGGGCGGAGCGAGACTTGAAATTGAGGAGGAAGAATTTGCAGGGCGCTGATTGGCTAGCGCACATGATGATGTAGATGCGGGGCTAGCAACGAGCGCAGTATAAATGCGAACGTTTGGAGCAATTTGACTGGTTAGCGCGTGTGATGGTGAAAAGTGATGTGAAGAGTGTGCGTCGCAGAAAGCGCGTGATAATATGGGATGTTCCCAAAGGTTCATTCATTATTCTGAAAACGAAAACACATGACAAACAGTATTTCTCTGATGAATTTCTCAGTGTACAGGTTGATGCTGCTTTTGTTTGATTAGCTTTGAGGTACACAGTTTTGTCACAGTTAAAAAAACATTTCAAGTGTATTGAATTGAATTGAATTCATTTACATTCTATAAATCCTAAGCAGGTTAGTACCTTTGGATACAGAACAAGTCAAAAGGTTACATACATAAGTATAGGCAATTTTAGCTTAAAAATTAATATAACTTAATTTTACATCATTCTCTATTTACATTGAAGTATTCATCTAAAGAGTAGAAGGAATGAGCATGTAGATAATTCTTTAACTCTGATTTAAACTTTTTAGTATCATTGCCCAAG